TTTTTTTTTTTTTTTTTTTTTTTTTTTTTGAGACGGAGTTTCACTCATGTTACCCAGGCTGGAGTGCAATGGCGCGATCTCGGCTCACCGCAACCTCCGCCTCCTGGGTTCAGGCAATTCTCCTGCCTCAGCCTCCTGAGTAGCTGGGATTACAGGCACGCGCCACCATGCCCAGCTAATTTTTTGTATTTTTAGTAGAGATGGGGTTTCACCATCTTGACCAGGATGGTCTCGATCTCTTGACCACGTGATCCACCCGCCTCGGCCTCCCACAGTGCTGGGATTACAGGCTTGAGCCACCGCACCCGGCCGGTGAGGTCTTAAAGAGAGCAAAAGGAATGCTTACTTGAGAATACCAGTTCATATTTAATTACTACAAATCACAGTAGCACTGAACATGGCTCTAGTGAGTGGGCCTCAGTCAGTTCAGGCAGCTAAAGGGAGGGGGTTTCCTCTTAGTCCTCTCCCTGGAGCTAAATATGCATCTGGGAAAAAGTAGGCTGTGGACCACAGAGGTATTTTTTTAGAGGAAAGAACTGAAGTCCCAGCACTAGGTAAAACTGCCAAAAGGAAAACAACTGTGCCCAGGCACTAGCTACAAGGCCACACCAGATCAGGAAAGCTGGGTCCTGTACGCTTGAGGACAGGAACTGTTCCTGGGTCAAGTTCTCCCCAGCACCTAGCACATAGGAAGGTGCTTGATGAGTGAGTGTTAAATAAACCTGTGAGTGCTCAGGATAATTTCCTGATAATTGGGTCCAGGAATCTACTGGGAGGAGCTTGAACCCAGAAGTTCCTTTTTTGAAAGTCTCAAATATGGTTCCCTAGCTTAGAGAAGACATGATCTGGGAAGGAGTCCTGAGGAGAGGACGCAGGCTGACGGAAGGGAACCGGGTGCATGCGAGCCCAGACCCTGACACCCTTCCGAGGGCGGTGACTGGGCAGCCACTACACAATACCAACCCGCTGCAGAGCTCCAAACTAGAAGGGGTTACATGAAAGTGTTCCCAGGATGCAGAGCTGCCCTGGCCTGAGTCCAGTCACCTGCCAGCCTCTGCTGTTCCCATCACCTCAGAGCACTCCAACACCACATGCCTGAGAAACAGGCTCTGTGCTGCCCAGGCCCAGGTCTGACGGCCGAACCAGAGGCACCCAGCTGCTGACCTCTGACCTGGGAACGAGCGAGTGCTTACAACCTCAGCTGAACCCCACGTGGTGACACCTTCCAGCAAAGCAAGGACATCAGCACCTCACGCCCCTGTTTACAGGCCCCTCACATAAGCCACTGTTCTTTTTCTTTGATGAAGTGCTCTGCCCAGCGGCGGGTCAGCTCCAGGTACAGGCTGGGCTGGTGAGGCAGGTAGTCCAAATACAGGCGGGTGGGTGTCTTCTTGGGAATGGCCTTCTCAATCTGGGTGCCCTCGTGCCACTCATTGAAGGAGGTGATGGAGACGATCTCGGGCCTCACTGTCAGGGCCGCCTGCAGGGCCGTCTCATAGTACTTGCCGTTGACCCTGTTGCGTGTATTGTGGTTGTTCCAGGGCCGGATGCTGGTGTCTATGTAGCCAGGCCCCACGCTGGGGATGAACATGAGGTTGTTGGCATCACAAAAGTTCTTCACAGCTTTCCAGTTCTGATGGGAAGAACCAAAGGAGAAACCGTTGGAGGCAAAGTAGGTGTACATGCCGTCAAATCCGGCGGCCAGGATGTCGTGGGTGTGGCCCTCCTCCACCAGCAGTGCTATGAAGACGCCATCATAGGGCGTGTTGCGGATCGAGTGGGGCCCGTTTGGTGTCAGAAGGTGGGCCCAGGCCTCAGGGGATGTCAGGTATGAGTCGTAGATATAAAAGAGTGGGAGGCTCTTGCCCATGCTGTTCTTATAGCGGTAAAATGCACCATGGGAGCCATACCTGAGAAGGAGAAAGAAGAGCCTCAGCTGGATGGGACAGGACAGACTGGCCCAACTCTAGGACCTGCCATGGATGAGATCTGGATGCCACACCGCCCAGTTCTGGAGCCAGGCAGTCTCCACAGTTGGACTCATCATCCCTCTAAGCAAGAACCTGGTTCCCCTCCTTCCTCTCCCCAGTTGTCATTCCTAAGCTCCACTTCCCTACCCTTAGCCAAGCCACCACTGTTTTTCATCTGGATTGTAGCAACAGCCAGCTAACTGGTCTCCAGGCTTCCATCTTGCCTCCCTATAACCCATTCATTATTCCCCCTTACATGATCCGGCCCTGCCTACCCCATTCTTGCTCTTCACCCACCTATTACTCTCCATCTGGCCTTTCTGTCCAGCTGTCACGCGTCATACAAGCTTGTCCCATCTTACAGCCTTTGCCTCTGCCAGCCCTCTCAGTGGAATTTTCTCCCTGCCTCCAGATCTTTGCAGGCTGACCCTTTTTTTTTTTTTTTTTTTTGAGACAGGGTCTTGCTCTGGAGTGCAGTGGGTAATCTCAGCTCACTGCAACCTCCACCTCCTGGGGTTCAAGCGATTCTCCTGCCTCAGCCTCTCAACTAGCTGGAATTACAGGCACCCACCGCTATGCCTGGCTAATTTTTGTATTTTTAGTAGAGATGAGGATTCACCATGTTGACCAGGCTGGTCTCAAACTTCCGACCTCAGGCAATCCACCCACCTCAGCCTCCCAAAGTGCTGGGATTACAGGCGTGAACTCCCATGCCTGGGCTTTAAAAAAAAAAAAAATTTTTTTTATTCTTGAGACAGTCTCACTCTGTTGCCCAGGCTGGAGTACAGTGGTGCCATCATAGCTCACTGCAACCTCAAACCCCTGGGTTCAAGCGATCCATTCACTTAGCCCCCTAAGTAGCTGGGACCATAGGCGTGCATCATCATGCCCAGCTAATTTTAACAAAAATCTTTTTGTAGACATGGAGTCTCCCCATGTTGCCCAAGCAGGTCTCAAACTCCTGGCCTCAAGTGATCCTCCCACCTCAGCCTTCCAAAGTGCTGGGATTACAGGTGTGAGCCACCGCACCCAGCCCTGACTACTCATTCAGGTGTTAGCTCACCTGTTGTCTCCTCAGACTCACTTGACCTGACTACCCACTCTTAAGTAGTTTCTTGGGCATACTCTAGCACAAAATCCTGTATAGATCACTGTTTAATTTTTCCCATTTAATTATTGTCTGCTCCACAGTACCTGCAACATACACTAGAAAGTAAATATTATGAACTCAGAAACTTTGCTAGTCTTACCCATTACTATACAACTGGGCTTAAGACAGTGCCTGGACACATGTAGGCTCTCAATACTTTTTTTTTTTTAAGAGAAAAGAGTCTTGCTCTGTTACCAGCCAGAATGCAGTGGCATAATTGTGGCTCTCTGTAACCTCGAACTCCTGGGCTCAAGTGATCTGATCCTCCTACCTCTGCCTCCCAAGTAGCTAGGACTACTATAGTTAGCCACTACTATGCCCAGCTAATTTTTTTTCAGTACAGATGGGGTCTTGCTCTGTTGCCCAGGCTGGTCTCAAACTCCTGGCCTCAAGCAATTCTCCCACCTCTGCCTCCTAAAGCACTGGGAAGCCGGTTGCAGTGGCTCACATCTTAGTCCCAACACTTTGGGAGGCTAAGGTGGGCGGATCACCTGAGGCCAGGAGTTCAAGACCAGTTTGGCCAACATGGTGAAATCCCGTCTCTACTAAAAATACAAAAATTAGCTGGGAGTGGTGGTGGGTGTCTGTAATCCCAGCTACTCAGGAAGCTGAGGCAGGAGAATTGCTTGAACCCAGGAGGCGGAGGTTGCAGTGAGCCAAGATTGTGCCACTGCACTCCAGCCTAGGCAACACAGTAAGACTCCATCTCAAAAATGAAAAAAAAAGCACTGGGATTACAGGCATGAGCCACCACGGCACCCAGCCTCATTCAATACTTTTTGAATGAATAAATGATGTGCATACACCATAGAAGCCACTTTCACATATATTAACTCGTGTGATTCTCACAAAACTCAAAGGTTAAGAGGATTGCCTCATCACAGAGGCCACAGAACAGGAACGGAAACCCAGGCTGCCTGACGTTAGGTCCAGCACTCTCTTACTATAAAACAGCTTCTGGGAACACAGGCAATATGCCCCATGTCTCTTGATCTACCTCTCCAAACCTTCAATCCCTACCTCCATTTTGATCCCCACCAAAATCCCAGCCCCCAGAGCAGCCTTACGTGTCAATGATGTACTTGATGTTGTCATGTACAGTGATGTCATCCCGGCCCTTGTAGGGTTGGATGTGGAAGGCCACCTGCCGTAAACAGAGGAGTAACTGGTCAGGTGAGTGTCTATCCAGGGGCCACAACATACCAGGTCGGGATCTAACCACGGCCTGGAGGAGAGGCTGAGTTCAGAAGAGGGGCTGGCAATGGTGGGCACAGTAGAGATAAAGGCAGTGGCTGCCCTTCAAGGTCAAAACAGGGGTGAGCAGTTTGCCCACTTCCCACATGTGGGAAGGGCATGTGGGAATCATTTTGGCGGGCTGTTACAGGGTGGCTAATAGGTTTCAACCTTGTTCCAGCTCCAAGTTGTTGGTGCTGGCTGCCTGAAACAGTGGAAGAAGTATGCTGAAGCTGTGTCAATGGGAAAATGCTGTAATTTGTTAGATGTGTCGGTGGTGGAATTCCCCTTAGGAATGGGGAGTGCGGGTTTTCTTCCTTCTCTATCATTTTTCTTCCTTCACCACAGAAGCAAAGAATGACTTACTCGATTGGCCCATGTGGGGTAATGCTTCGCCCAGCTCCGTCCTTCCTCTTGAAAGTGAGCCCACCTGCTGAGATCACCTGTCTACTCCTCGAGGTCCAGTACTGCCTCCCACTAGAGAGTTGAGTCAGCAGGTCCCTTTGGCTCTTGCCTACCCTTAATCCACCAGGGTTTACCACCTAACCTCTGTTATTATTTAACAAAAGTGATAATTATTTTGTCTGCCTTTGGTCCTATATTTAGTTTACTCAGTTTTCGTGGAATTCAAAAAACTAAGAGTAACATAGGCAGCACTTATCTGAACCCTCCCCCAAAAACACACGTGACACATATTTGTTTTCCCTGGGCTACTGCAAGAACTTCCTAGAGGCACTAATCCACAAGGCCTCTTCTTGGAGACTCACCTGGATGCTGTACTGATGGGCGGTGTCCAGAATGGCGGGCACTAGGTCATCTGAGGGTTCCCCGTTATCATCAGCCATGCCAGGTGGGTACCAGGACAGGACCAGAACGCCTGAGATGCAATACAGAGGCCACTTCAGAGACTAACAGTACCCCCCTCAACAGAGTTTTTTTTCCCTCACAAACATCTCCAATTGCAAAAATGGTTCCTAAAAAACTGGAGCAAGCCTCCTGCCAGGTTCACTTCCTGCAGATGAGATCCCAGAGCCTCGCGCCCCGGAGCTGTCCACAACCGCGGTGCTGAAGCGCAGCGCCTGCGGGAACCGTAGCGCGCCAGGCCGGAAGGGAGCCAGGCTTTAGAGTGCATTAGCAAGTAGAACAAAGGGAACGGGTGGACAGTGCCACACCCACCTGGTAGCCACAGGCCTACCTCTGAAGAAAAGAAGCACCCCTAACGTGCTGCATGGAGAAGAGCCCTGAGCATAGGCGATCTGTGAAATCCAGTAGAATTCAGTGACGAAACCTTTAACCATTAGCTCCCCCTCCCCAGCCTACAAAGGAGGCGCCCAGGGACGTTCCCACTAGCTGGGTGCTTGATGAAAAGCCTCTTAACCCCCAGAACTACCCCTAACTGCAAATAGAGCAGAAGCTCTCATGGAACACCAGCACAGTTTCCTCTCTGCAGCTAGCAAAAGCAGGAAGTGCTGCGGCTCTACCCTGTACCTGCTGTGAAAGCAGAGGCCGCCCTAGGATCCACTCTTCTGAATCCCAGATCCTGAGGGCCAGGGCTCCAGGCCTCACTTCTCATCGCCCAACAAATTTGAAGACTCTGCCTCTTCTGGCGCAAACTCCCAGCAGTTCCGCCCTATGGAAGGGCCCTGGATTGACAGGGGTCAAAGGGCCCGGGTGGGGGTCTGAACACTAGACGGAGGGGGCAGTGCCGCATGGTGGGCCCAGGATGAGTGGGTGGGAACGGCCAAGAAGCCAGGTTGGCGGGTAAGTGGGACCAAAGGCCCGGTGACACGACCAGAGGGAGCTGGGGTGTGGGAAGGAGGAAGGGCGAGGCTGGGGTCAGGGCCACTCGGGGTGGGGGGGCGCTCACCGATGGCGGCTTCCTTGAGCTGGGTCATGTGCTCCCGCAGCACTTCGGGGTCCCGGGAGCTGTAGGGTCCCAGCTCCGGGTAGAAGCTGGAGCCCAAGTCGTCTGGGGGGCTGTGGCGGCCGCGAGGGTAGCTGGCAGAGATCTTGGGGTCCCAGTGCGGCACCATGACGTGGTCCCAGTGAATGTAGTGGCCCTCGCGCCGCGGGCTCCCGTACCACGAGTAGTAGAAGGCGTGCAGGTCCGAGTAGACGCGCAGGCTCTGCCCGGGGGCGGGCTCGGCCTCGGCGGGGACCGGCCCAGAGGAGCCGCCAGGGTCCGAGGTGCGGGGCGGCGGCGGCGGCGGAGGCGGAGCGGCGGGGGCCGCCGGGGCCCGGGCGGCGGGCGCGGGGGCCCCCTCTGGGCGTCGCTCAAAGGGCGCCAGCTCCAGGCCCGGGCCCAGCGCCGGGAGTCCGTCCGGAGCCTTGAGCGTGCGCAGGCCCATGAGGGTGCCGAAGGCGAAGAGCAGCACCAGGAACAGCGCGATGCAGGCGCGGCGCCGCCGCCGGGCCATGGCCGACAGTGCGCTCCCGCGGCCGCCCCGCTACCTCCCCGCGCGCCGCGCCATGGCCGCCCGCCCGCAAGCCCGCCCGCTTCCCAGAGAGACTGCGCGCCCGGCGGAGCGCGGCGTGGGCGGCGCCCGGCCTGTCCCCGCAGTGCGGGCGGGCCCGGCACACAGGACGCCGGCGGCGCGGACCAAGTGGCCGCGAGCCGAGGGGGAACTGGACGCCGACTGCGATGCAAGGCCCGGCGAACGGCGGGGCTCGGGGCCACAGGAGCGGGGGCCTGAGTTAGCCCGCGCGGCCCGCGGAGGAAGAGTCGCCTGGCTGCCTGGGCGGCGGGTGGCGGCGCCTGGCGGGGGGCGGAGAGCGGGGACGCGGGCCTTCCGGAGCGCGGGAGAGGCGCGGCGCGGCGCGGCGGCGGCGGTGGCGGCGATGGGGGCGGGGAGGGGAGGAAGAGCGCGTCTGTGGTTCCTACCCCAAGAATTTCCATCTCCGTCCATCCGCCTTTACTCACTTCGCTGGCCCCCTCCCTACGGGTCTCAGTGTCACCCTTCTAGCCCCAGGTCCCCCATCCCTCGGACCCCCTCCCCGACACCCCGGGCAGCCCCTGAATCCCGGAGAAAGGGGCGTCAGGAAATCCCAAGGAGTCGGACCCTACATTCGCTGGCTGGGGCCTGGCGGGCAGAGGGCGACCGTGACTTGTGCAAGGTCACACCGACCGGGTCAGGACGCGCTCTCCAGAGGTCGTTGCACTGCCCAGCCTGCCTGTTCTCAGGCCTGGCGTCGTCCGGAGCGGTCTCTCCTGGGAGAACCTCCCAGAGTCGGGGAGGATGAAATGAGATGGCTCCCATAAAGCACTTCCACGGGGCCCGAAAAGCAAGCAGTCAATACATGTGCGCCTTTCTTCCTGGATTCTGGGCTCCAGAGGGCAGGCCCCGTCTTATTTACTTTGTTAGAAAGGCAAGGGCTGCTGGATCAGGAGGTGACACTCACTTGCTAGCACCGTTTGAGTGAGTACCAGCCCCGGGTGTGATAGTCTGTAGATAAGCTTTTCACTCGATATTGACGACATTGACGGAGTTCCTGCACTGCATTATTCATTGCTTCGTTTATTCAGACAATAGTTTTGTTTATCATATGCCTCCTTCGCTGGTCCGCGATGACAGCAGCTTTGTTTCACTGCCTGTCTTCATGTCTAAAACAGAGCTTGGGATGATGGCGGGCACCCAGTTCTTATTGCTTAAGTAAAAAGAATTGTAGGGGACCCAGGAAGTGGAGCAGCAAGGTTGGGAAGTGTTGCTAGACCTGCAACCCAGGAAAGTGAGCTTGAGAGACTTTATGATGGTGAGTGTGAATGAAGTGGAATGCCTCCAGCTCCAGGTGGCAGATACCCCCATTCAGGCTAGCTTAAGGAATATGCCAGTGTATCAGCTTGCAAAGCAAGAAGCCCAGTGGCAGGGCAGAGTGGGTATATTCTCTGATCCAACGATGTCATTAGGAGCCCGAGATGCTCTTGTGGCACTGCTCTACTCTCCCCACCATTGACTTCATATACAAAGCCAGCTCCCCTCATACCACAAAATGACTGCTATGGCCATTGGTTCCTCTTCCCATTCAACAGGCATGGGTAAGACTGATTTCTCTTTCCCAGAAGTCCTAGACAAACATCTCCTTGAATCTCATTGGTCTCATCTGGTTTAGGCCTTTTTATGCCAGACAAATTGTTGCTGAGGGGATAGAATTACCATGACTAGATTAGATTAAATTTGTGGAGCGGGTTAAACGTTGGAGAGAATACCATGTCTACTAAACAATGAGATGACTCTGGGAATAGAAAGTGAGAAGAATACGGGTAAGGGTGGAAAGGTTTCTCCAGCTCCCAGTCATTCCACTATTTCTGGGAATGCCCTGAAACAATTGTGGCCCCCATTGGCCATGCCTGGGGTCCTTGACACTGCCACCTGGCCATGATGGTTTGACCCAGGGCTAGAACTCTGACCCAAGATGAGCAAATGATACCATCTCATCTCCTATTGGACCAGTCATGGATATGATGACCCAAAGGCATCAATTCCAATTATTTTTGGGGATTTTTCTCTCTGGTCCAGAGGAGAGATTTCATCTTCTTTAAAGATAATGCCATTTGCTCATGCCTGTAATCGAAGCACTTTGGGAGGCCAAGGTGGGAGGATGACTTGAGTTCAGGCTTTCGAGATCAGCCTGGGCAACATAGTGAGACCTCATCTCTATTAAAAAAATTAAAATATATCAATTAGGCATCATGGTATATGCCTGTACTCCCAACTACTCAGGAGGCTGAGGTGGGAGGATCACTTGAGCCTGAGAGGTCAAGGCTGCAGTGAGCTGTGATCACACCACTGCATCCCAGCCTGGGTGACAGAGTGAGACCCTCTCTCAAAAACAAACACACAAGGCTGGGCGCAGTGGCTCATGCCTGTAATCCCAGCACTTTGGGAGGCCGAGGTGGGCAGATCACTAGGTCAGGAGTTCGAGACCAGCCTGGCCAACAGAGTGAAACCCTGTCTCTACTAAAAATACAAAAATTAGCCAGCATAGTGGTGCATGCCTGGAGTCCCAGCTACTTGGGAGTCTGAGGCAGGAGAATCACTTGAACCCAAGAGGCGGAGGTTGCGCTGAGCCAAGATTACGCCACTGCTCTCCAGCCTGGGCAACAGAGTGAGGCTTTGTCTCAAAAACAAAACAAAACAAACAAACAAATAAAACAAAAAACAAACAAGATAATGCCACTAGAGGGAAGGGAAAAAGAGACAGAGAGAAACTTAGTCGTACTGGAGTCCTGATTTCAGTTTTCCTGGCAGCCTAGTTGCAGTGTGAAACACTGGACCATTCTTCCAAGAAGTTACCCTTTTGTTATGAGCAAGACGAGCTGATGGAGCTGACTATTGATTGCCTATCAGTCTCTGACAAGACTAAGAAGGGGGCTTGGGAACAGGAGGTAATTTGGGCAGTAATCTCAGGAAGCAGGAGTCAGGAATTGAAGAGAATGAGACAAGAACAAAAGAAAGCCAAACCAGTGGTGCACTGAGGATGTTGCTGCTATCGATCATAGGGCCTTAATTCTGTCAGGCCTTTTCAGAAGTATACAAATGCCTCGCAGAGTTAGGAGGTATGAGGCTGAAGCAATTATCTACTGACCCTCCTCCTCTACTGGTCAAGCATTTTCCCTAGGGGAGTTAATTTCCTTGTATCCATGTACTTCTGGACTCCTGTTGCCAGGCAGGCTCCCAGGACATCAGAGAAGGTTTTGAGGCAGGTATAAAGAGAGACAGACACATTATTTATTCAAGTGGGATGCTGCCAGTGCAAGGAAGACTAAGCCTGCACAGAACCATCCATCCTAGACATACCCATTTTCTAAGCTGTCGTAACAAATTACTATAAATTTAGCAGCTAAAACAGCATAAAAGTTTACTATCTCTCGATTTCTGTAAGTCAGAAGTCTAGGCACAGTGTGGCTTAGTGGATTCTCTGGTTGGAATCTCACAAAGCCAAAATTAAGGCATTGGCAGGTTATGCTCCTTTCTGGAGGCTCTAGAAGGGATCTATGTCCAGCTCAATGGCAGAATTTGGTTCTATACAATTGCAGGCCTGAGGCCCCCGTCTGCTTGCTGACTGTCAGCTGGGGGACTTTCTCAGTTTCTAGAGGCCTGCTGCATTTCTTGGCTTGTAGGCCGCTTCTTCCATCTTCAAAGCCAGAAACATCAGAGCTTGTCCTTCTCACACTTTGGATCTCTCTGATCTCCCTTTCTACCTATCTCTCCTACCTTCCTCCTCTGGTTTTAAGAGCTCAGGTAATATATTAGATGCCATCAGATAACCCAGGGTAGCTTCCCCTATTTAAGGTCAATTATTGGCCAAATGTGGTGGTTCATGCCTGTAATCTCAGCACTTTGGGAGGCCGAGATGGGAGGATCACTTGAGCCCAGGAGATCGAGACCAGCCTGAACAATATAGCAAGCCACTGCCTCTATCCCACTCCACCCCCTAAATAAGGGGCCAGGCACAATGGCTCACACCTGTCCCAGCACTTTAGGAGGCCAAGGTGGGCAGATTGCTTGAGCTCAGAAGTTAGAGAACATCCTGGGCAACATAGGGAGACCTCATCTCTAAAAGTATTTTTTAATTAAAAAAATTATAAAATATAAGGTCAAGTAGTTAGTAAATTTTATTCCATTCCACAGAGTCCCTTCACAACAGTAACTAGATTATTTTTGATTGAACGGCCAGAGGGCAGGAATCTTGGTGGGGGACACTTAAGAGTTCTGCCTGAAAACTGTTCCTAAAATCAGTGGGCCAAAGCAATGTGACACATGGCATTCAAGGAGTCTACTACACCAATACTATCAATTAGAATGTGTGTTCAGCCACAAATAAGAAGGAAAACAGCTAAACATGGCTTAAAGTGCTTCTCAAACTTTAGTGAGCATGCTAATCCCTTGAGGATCTTGTTAAAAATATAGATCCTGATTCATTAGGTCTGGAATGAAATCTGCATTTTTTTTTTTTTTTTTTTTTTTTAGACAACATTTCACTCTATCACCCAGTCTGGCTTGCAGTGGCGCAATCACAGTGCGCTGCAACCTTTGCCTCCTGGGCTCAAGCTGTCTTCCTGCTTCAGTCTCCCAAGTAGTTGAGACTACAGGTATGTACTACAACACCTGGCTAATTTTTTTTTTTTATAGATTTGGGGCTTTGTCATGCCACCCAGACTAGTCTCAAATTCCTGGGCTCAAGCAATCCACCTGCTTTGGCCTCCTGTAGTGCTGAGATTACAGGCATGAGCCACTGTGCCTGGCCGAGTCTGTGTTTTTAACAAGATGCCAGGTGATCTTGTTAGATTTGACTGGTCCTCAGACTGCATTCTAGGGCTTAGAGTGTAGTATGTTCATTAACCCCATATTAAGGAGTCTTTAGGCTGGTTCTAGAGATGGTTAATCTTTTTTTTTTTTTTTTTTT